CCCCAACCCCCCCCCACACCAGCCTTCGCGCCCCCTCCTCTGCCCCTCCCACCCTGCCCTGTGGTCCTGCGCTCCCGCTGCTGACCCTCAATCCCTCCCCCTCGCGTCCCCGCCCTCCGCTCTTTCTACTCGCGCTCTTCAGACCCCTAAGCGCCTTTCCCCAAGATTCTGACGCCCCTCTTTCTGGCCCCAGCCCCCTCTCCCGAGATGCTGGCTTCTGCGCCCACTGCGCCCCTCGCTCCTGACCTCAACCCTCTTCATCGGCAGTCCTGGAGCTCACTCTTCTGAGCCCCAAGCCCCTACCAGAGTACTGCTGTCCTTCTTACCCCTTCAGGATCCTTGCTCTCCGGGCGTCGCTGAACCCCTTTCTCTGATTCCTGCGTCCCTCTCTCGGATTCGACTCCAACTCTCGGACCCATTGCTGCCCCCCTCCCCGTGCCTGTCTCTCCGCCCTCTGCCGCGCCCACTCCTTCCCTGTGCTCTTGGGTAACTTTCGGCCAGGGGTGGGCCAGACTCAGGGGCTTCGTGTCGTCCCTGCCCCAGGTGACAGCTTCGCGGTGAGCGCCGCCTGGGCTCGGAAAGGCATCGAGGAGTGGATCGGGAGGCAGCGCTGCCCGGGCGGTGTCTCAGGACCCCGACAGCTGCGGTTGGCGGGGACTGTTGGCCGAGGCACCCGGGTATGATTCCCTCACCCCGCCCCACCCCCTGCCCCCTTTCAGCCTCAGAGGTGGGTCTCTATTTCCACTCACCCCAACTTTTAGCACCCTCCTGGCACAGCTCCTTGGTTTAAAAATCCCTTCTCACATGTCCCGTGCCCCACCGATATGTCCCTGTACCCCATGTTTTGGGGAGCTGTAGAAGCAGGTGGGCACTAGCTCCTGGCCACCCGGAGGCAGAGGTCTGGGGGAGTACAGTCCTAGGTGAGGAGGTGGCTTGGCAGTGCTGTAGCATCCGGGGGTCTGGGCTACTTCTACCTCCTTTCCTGGCCAGTGCTGGAAGGTGGAGTTAGAGGTGGGGCTACAGAGAGGCAAGGAGGGGTGTCTGGGTGGAAGACAGAGCTATGCTGGCTCCAGGATCCAGTGGCTGTCTCTGAGTATGTCCCAGCGGTCTGCGTCCCTGGCATTCATCAGTGTATCTGCCCAAGAACCCCAGTAGAGCAGTTCCCCACCAGAGTGGCAGAGGTGGGGAGTGGGGCCCCCTGAGCTTGGCCCCTAGTGAGGATAAGGGCCTCATTCTGTAGCCTTTTCCCCGGTGTGTTCTCGAGGCTGGAGCTTTCCTAGAGGAGTAGTGAGTCAGTATGACCAGTGAGTGAGTCCAGCTGCAGCTCCTGGCCTGGGACTGGTGTTCACAGATGTCCTGTGAGCTCCGGAACTCCGCACGGGGCTTTTAGACGGTCTGCGTGGAACTCGCACAAGCCAGGGATCAAAGGATGAATCAACTTTTTGATGTGACATTTAATTTTTTTTTTTTTTGAAACTTAGAGGGGGAAAGACTGAGTCTCAGGTCTGGTTAGTTCTTTGGTCTTGTCCGTGGCTGGGGAGAGGCCATTGTAGTCCTCAGATGTATGAGTATTTGGGTGGTGGGACCTGGCAGTGCAGTTGCAGAGGCTGGTGTTGGGAGGTGAGTCTGTGCGTAGAGTTGAGTCCTAGGAGCTCACTAACCTCAGTCTGGATGAAGCGCCTCTCCCCTCCTCCTCCGGCACTGATTAGCTGGGTACTTTCTCTTCTCATTTCTCTGCCTCTGTTGGCTGGATTGGAATTGGAACTGTCCCCTAGTAAAGGTCAAAACTTGGTGGGTGGGGGGCACTGCCTTTAGGGCCCTTTAAAAACAGAACTGCAAACTTCCCTTTCCCCCCAGCACTGCTGGGTTTTGATCTCCTTATTTATTTAAAGGCCAATGAAAAGGATCCAATTCAGCCATATGAACAAATGTGTTTGCAGCTCAAGACACAGGGCAACCCAGTGGATTTCCATTAATCAAGTTTTGGGTGTTTTCAGCCTGTTTATTTTTACAAAGTATTCCTGCAGAATGACATTTATTTGCAGTCCTCCCCCCAACCCCCACTTCTTTTTCCTTTCCTAAACTGCCAGGCAGCTTGCTCCATGCTAGAGGGAAAACTTGAAATACAGCGAGGGCTTACTTCAATTGACTTTTATCTTCAAAGCCATAACAAATGTTACCCGCATGTTTTTTCGTGGGTCTCCTTGGCATCCAGTCTGGGAGGATGGGAGAGAGCAGGAAAGAAGGGGAGGAAAACAAAAGTCTGTCGTTTTTAATTAAATAGTAGTGTTCCCAGCAAGAGGAATGTGAGCCAGTAAAAGTTGCTATTGGGGGAAGTGAAGGAGGTGGGGCAGGGGCCCCAGCTTAAGTTTGTGGCTTTGGTGAAGTCACGGAATTTTGTTGCCTGCTTTCTTTCCCCCAGCTGAGGACAGCATGGGTTGGTGATCGCCACCCCCCCTCTCGGCCCCTCTGAGAAATGCTGAGGGGTCATTCATGTTTGTTCAAAGTACTTTTGAAGATGTGAAGGGCAGCCCCATCAGGGTGGACATGTGTCCGGTGGAGGGTGTGCCCCAGCCATCAAAGATAGGGAGGCTAGGGGGGAGCCGCTGCCTCCTTGCAAGTTGTTCTTGGTGACCGGGACCCAGATGCTTGGGTTTTTACCAGCTTCAGCCCAAGAAGATTGAGCTGTAGAGCTGCTGAGTCTGCAGAGGGAGAGAGGGGCCACCCCGGGAGACGGTCAGGTGTGGCGCCGCACTGTTGGGGAGGCTGTTTCAGGTTCTGCCTGGAGGAATATTTTTAATCTTAATGGTTACTTTTTTTTTTTAAACCAGGAAAAAAAAAAAGAAAAAAAAAACTAGGACATCAAACCCATGATTTCATGGATATTATTGCTTAGGCTGAAGCTAAGTTGAAAGAGATAGTCTAATTTAAAGTCGATTTGGAGAAAAATATTAAGTAGCAGTGGTTGAAATTGCGAGTGTGGGAGTGGAATGATGAGAGTTTGGGAAACACCGAGACGCTGCACAGGACAGTGGTGGGCAGCTCGTCTGGTTATGTGGCCACGATTCCCACCGCATGGAAGGGTGGCTGGCAGGTGGCTCTGTTAGGTCACAGGGGTGTAGGAAGGCTTGGGTTCCCAAATCCACTGGGTTCCCAAGGCTGGCGGAGCACTTCCAACCAGCCCCAAGTCCTGGGGTGGCCTTTGTCTCTACCCCTTCACCTGACCTCTCACCAGCGTCACGCAGCTAGCTTTATTATTATTGCCATGATAACCACTGTTTATTAAGTGCCTATATGTGTCAAGCACTTTGCTTACATGATCTTAATCCTCCCATAACCCTCTCGAGTTGATAACCAGCTGGTGTGGACTGTTTCTGTCCCTTTCTGGAGCACTTTCCAAGAGGAAGGAGATCACTTATAGAGAAGCCCTGTACTAGGGCCTCCACCTGGGGGTGCTGATCTCACTAATCTCCTGACAGGTGACATGCCTGTTTCCCCACGCCCCCCAGCTACTGAATGCTTCAAGGAGTGGCCCCTGCTTTTTCCCTTCCTCCTTGACCAGATCTGCGGTGCTTGGTAAAGTTCAGGGTAGGTCTGAGTTGCATGCCAGATTCGGAGGTGGGAGAGGGTGACCACAATGGCACTAAACTAAGCCTGTCTTCCTGAATACAGAAAGAATGAGGTCAGGCCCTGTCACAATAGCTTGTCATCTTATGCAAGCCATTTTACTTTCGGATACCGTAATTAGCTCATCTGGAGAATGGGCGTAATAATATACTTGTCCCTGGCAGAGTTATGGAAGAGAACTCTTCCGTAAGGACGGAACATGGGAAGAAAGGTTTTGGGAGGTTTGCTGAGGCGTTTGCAGGGGTGGAGATGGGAGCTCACAAGCAAGGAGTTGGAGGGTCCAGATGATGAAACCAGAGTTCTCTGTCCCCCCTACCCACCCTTATAGAACAGGCTCATTTGGAGGGACACAGGCTAAGGCCTGGACTTCTGCCCGTCGCTGGGCAGAAGTGGGTACCTGATGAAGTCTAAGGGAATATGAGCTCATAAGAGAAAAGTAACGAGCTGGAAGTCCTATGGAAGAACAATAAGCTGAGCAGCACCTGCACCAGAGAACAATGGGCTAGACAGAGTTAGGAAGTAAAATAAGCATTACCTCAAGGAGACAGATCATGGAGCGTATTGGAACATGAAGCTACTGCAGGCAGTTCCACAATACTGGGAATGGAGTGGGGGGGGGCAGCAGGTGGTATGGTGGTTAAGGCGTTGGACATTCCCATATGGCCGACCACAGTTTGAGTCCTGGACCTGGTGGCTTGCTTTCTCACTTTCCCTTTCTCTCTCTCTGTCTGTGTCTCTCTCTGGTCCAATTAAAATAAATAAATGAATAAATAAAATTAAATAATTCTTTTTAAAAAATACTGGGAGTGGAAGCTATCATGGGTGAATAAAAAGCTTAGCTGAGGGATTGTAAGCCTGATGCACTCAGGTATCAGACCGGGCATGTGCCTGGAAGGGCATGTGCCTCTACACCCCCTCTTGTGGCGTATGCATGTGTGCACATAGGTGTGTGTACAACCAGATTTCAAACAGTTCTCTCCCCACCCCCTGGTTTGGCCCTTTTGTTCTTTTATAGCAGGGCTGCTTGAAGAAATGGGCCGAACGTCATGGTGCAGGCAAGCCTGCCTTTGGATCTGAGGTGGCTGCCAGGTGGTTTGGTAACTTGATGGGGGCGGGGAGGATGGCACCTAGCACGTTTTGATATTTGGGGAAGATTAGGAGGGTGCAGGCTTGGTTGGAGCCTGCAGGGACGCAGGAGGCTGGGTGATGAGATTGGAGGATGGCCCAGATGCTGCCCAAGTGCCGGATTCCAGGGGAATTACCCTTGAATGATACCAGTTGGCACAATTAAAAGGCCCATGTCTTCACCATATGGAAAGTGTTAGGCCTCCTTACGTGGTTTCAAAGCTATGTGCTGGGAGGTGGACTTGACATTTGAGGTAGAGCATAAATTAAATATTTGGTGTTTCAGAATTAAAAGATGATTTGTTTGGAGGCTGGTGAAGGACTCAGGGTGGAAGCATTTGGGCTTTTGCTTGCTGGTGTCCTTTTGAGTTTACCATAGAGGGTCTCCTCTGCCCATAGGAACAGCCAGGACCAGTGGCACAGCCCAGCCTGGTGCTCCCTTTACTCCTGGGACCGAGAAGGAGAGTCTGGGAGAGCCTGAGCTGGGCGGAGCCAGGTCGGGTTTCTGGTTTTCAGTAGATCTGGGCCCCCGGATGGGCTGATGGTAGTCAAGGGAGTCATTTTCTGAGAACTTGAAAAGTCTTTGTGATGTAGTCTCTGGTAGAGGCTTCGAGGACTCTCTTGTCCTCCCTTTGAAACTTTTCTTCTTTAGGAAGGAGGCTGGATCTTCCTGAGCCCGGCTGTATGTGAGTTCTATTCTCTAGATCCCAGGAACACTCCCTCGATATCCGTGTTTTTGTAGGAAAATCAGGGAAAATCTAATCTGGGAAGCACCTGCTTCTCACATGGCCCAACGGCTGGGGGGATGTTTTTTCTCTTGGTCCAGTGGGGATGACAGAAGTGAGGAGAGAGAGGTGGGCAGTGGATGGACAGGATTTCTTTTTGTGCCAAGAACCTCAGGCACACTTTCCAGGACCAGATTGGC